CTCATTGTTTACCTCTAAAAATGTAGCTTCCATGCTTTGGTCGGTTTGGCTCAGCAGTTACAGTGTCGACTCTTGGGCCAAAGAATCTCAGGTTCAAATCTGACTAAGGGCATGTACCTTGGTTGTGGTTTGTCCCCGGCCCCAGTTGGGGTCATGTGGGTGGCAACCAATTGTTGTGTCTCTCTCACATCAATGTTTCTCTCTCTCTCTCTCTCTTGCTCTCGCTCTCTCTGTCTCTCTCCCTGTCCCTCCTGCTCTATCTGAAGATAAATGGAAAAATATCCTCAAGTGAGGATTAAAAAATAAAATAAAAATGTAGCTTCCTCTAATTTAAATTTAATATCTCAAAATATAGTTTAATGATACAATTTTAAGACTTTACTTTAAAATCCAGCTGTATTACTATGGTATGTAATTTTGGCCATGAATTCATCCACACATATATTTATTCACCTGTCAAAATAGTATGAGACACTATATTAGATCTATGAAATCATGTAAGAAGTCCCTTGTAAAGAGTTTGAAAATCCCTTGTAACCTCACAGTCCAAAGATAGATAAAATATTTTGTATATAATGTATATTTTACATTATGTATACATGTATTCACACATATATATGTGTGTGTGTGTATATATATATATTCATGAATTACTGTGTTCAGCTAATAAGTAATGCAAAATCATAGTAATGGCAAATGGTCATCAATAATAGGTGAATCAATAATAGGTGAAGATATAAACTAACATGCAAATGCTAAACCTGGTGTAGTTCCACTCATGTTGGGGAAAAATTAAAGTTGCATTCAAGGAGCTTTCAGGTTAGGTGCTATGGTAAGCATATTGTTTTAGGGAATTACTATTTCACTTTTCAAATGTGATAATGTACAGTAGTTGGCAAAACATTTGAGTTCAGTTCCTGAGCTGATTGTATTCTCTGAGGCAGAATCTGAGCAGTAGTTAGCAATGCAAAAATGTTACACAGGGAAGAGCTACCTGTGAAGGAAATGGAGATGGAGTGTGACTGGGTGGAGGCACCAGACAGACCAAGATGCAATCTGACAAGCGTATTTCAGCAGGACAGAGCTCTGGAGCAAAGACTACCCACCGGAAATGCCCCATATATGTGAACACCACTGGACTCAAGCTGCTATCTTGCTCAACCATTGTCTGGGCATTGCCCCACAAATGGCGTGACCTTGCAGGCTGAGGTGAACTCTGAAGGACCAACAGCTGGAAGCTTCCCCCTGACCCACATTCTTTGCAGGAGGGAGAGAGAGAGAGAGAGAGAGAGAGAGAGAGAGAGAGAGAGAGAGAGAGAAACATCAACGTGAAAGGGACACATCGAGTGGCTGCCACCCGCATGACCCAACCAGGGCAAAACTGCAATTGAGGTACATGACCTTTGCAGGATCCGAACCCGGGTCTCTCTGGACCACAGGCCTAACCTAACCTCTCTAACCGCTGAGCAAAACCGGCCAGGGCTTATTTTGTTTTTTAGGGGAATATCTGTGTCTGATGCAATTTTTACTTGGGATGTTCTTTGTCTAAGTTTGGTTTTCCTGGATACTTTATTTTAATACAAATGACAGAATGCAGAGAATATATGAGAAAATTTGATAAATACTAATCCTGAAGCTTTCAAACAAAGACATGAAGAAACTTTTTAATATACTCCATTTGAAAAACATTGGCTAGGAAATTTTGCTAGTTTGACAGTAATTTTTTAGAATCTAATATATTTAGTTTATCTGGATAATTAATTTTATGAGATTCACCAATTACAAATTTTATTTATTTAATTTTATACACCATATAACATTCTGGCTGCATCTGATCAATCACATTTTCATGCTTCAAGTGATAGCAATTTATATCTGAATAATTTATTAAAGTGATCATAATTTTCTAGTTAGGTGACATGAAATAAGTGTAAGAAATTCACAAATGAATGAATAGCAATGATAGCAAAATTTTTTTAGACAAATATTTAAAGCTAAATGAAATATGGGTTATATATGTATTTAATAGCACAGAGGCATTAAACATTGAAAACAAAGAATAAGTCTATGGCCATACCACAATGAACGCACCCGATCTCATCTGAAAACAAAGAATGACTTGTTTATTCCGTTTGCTGGAGAGTTTTGTGGTTTGGGATATTTCCAAGCAACACTAAGTGCATTAGACATCTAGGCAGTAAAAAAAGAACATTTCAACATTTTGTTGATAAAAAATCGCTGTAAGTCACAGAATTTGCTGTTACTTTATTCCACAATTCTGACCTTGGAATACTCTTGATTTTTAATCTCTTTCTTCTTAAATATTGTATTTTTCACTATCGTTTTAAGTTGAAACTGGTAAAATAATAGTGACAGAAAAATACTGTTTTCCGCAAAATTTCTTCAGTTTTAAATAGAGACATATTTCTGAAAACACAATCTAAACACCAGTAAATATTTCTATTCATTTTTTCTAGATGTATTGAGAACATATTAATAGTTCATATTGCTATATGCTGTACCAGATACTATATCTCAGCACTTATCACAAGTTCTCTTATTTAATCATTCCAATACCACAATGATGTAAATATTATTTTTTTTCATTTTTCCACTGAAGAAACTCTGACACAGAGAAGTTAGGTGATACGCACCAATGTGCTAAGTGAGTAAGTGATAGACTTAATATATGAACACAATTTGCCTAACCTGCAGACTAAGCTCTTCTGAGAACATCATCTAAATACCTTGCAAACAAATATACATGAAATCACAGTTGCCAACTGAAAACAAAGGGAGAAACAAGCAAGTAGCAGCTCTGATATTTGAAAGGGAGGGATTACATCACCAAGGAACATTAAGATAATTGTCTGGTATCTGAAAATGGAAAAATCATACCAACCTCATAAGGTTTTTGTGGGAATTAATTGAGAGTAACTGAGATAAGGGAAAGTGCTAATATTTTGCATGCAGAGTAGTCACTCAAAATATTAGTTTCTTCCTAGTAATGCCTTGTCAGTGTAGGCAAAATAAAAAAAGACAGACCTTTAGAAACCAAAGTAGATTTTGGAAAAAAAGAAGAAAGTGTGTGGGGAAGTTGTTTATGGGGCAGGTAAATCTTTCTCTACAACTTTAAAGATAAAAGTTAGAAAACAAGCCCTGGCCGGGTTTCTAAGTGATTAGAGCATCGGCCCGCAGACTAGAAAGTCTTGGTTTAGTTCCCACTGGGGGCAAGTACCTTGATTGCAGTTTGTTCCAGGCCCCGGTTGGGGTCTGTGTGGGTGGCAGCCAGTCAACCTGTCTCTCTCACATCGATGTTTCTCTCTCTCTGCCCCCCGCTTCCTCCCGCCCTATCTGAAGATCAATGCAAAAATGTCCTCAGGTGAGGATAAAATAAATAAATAAAAAGTTAGAAAACAAGCACTAGACCACAAGATTATTCTGAAGGGGTACAAACTCTGGAGTAGGTAGAAGTCTGTTGATTCAGAAAGAAAAAAAAAATATATATATATGAATGATTCTAATATATATATGATCCTAATGATGGTTGTTTGTTCTTTGAGATGAAATTTTACCTCAAAGTCAAATTGCAAAGTTTGAAATCTGATGCTATTAATAAAGTTAATTTTTTTCTCAAAACACTTGAAATTTTCAGATGATTTCTACGTACTTTCCTATTTTTAATAAACACAGAAAGTGTTCATGAACAAATCTGCTTTCCAATGGATGAGGCAAAAGTTGTTGAGCCTTCAATACCCACAACTCAGCAGGAACTGATGGGAAACCTGCTTCTCCTACTCCATTATCACCCGTCCCACACAGCCAACAAAGAAGAGTTCACTCAAACAGGAAGTAGAACGGCATCATTTGGAATTAGCAAATATTGACACAACAAATATCAACCTGGATGAAGATGTTTTGAATGCCTGAATGTAATGCTTCCCATTTACCCAATGAAACAGATCTTAATTATGGACAGGTGTTAATTATCACCCTGACCACAGTGATTTGGGACTCCGGGAAGAAACCCCTTAAATTTCTGTATGTGAACACTGTGCCCTCCGTGTCTTAGGAAGAATTTATGTGCAGCCTCTATGTCACTGTGTTTTCTTGTTAACATGAGTTTTGATTTTTTTTTGATACTGTCACTAGACCATATCTATTAAAATCTTTTGAACTGAAAAACAAAGAATATTAGAAAAAGTTGATTAAAACTTCTGATAAAATAAACCTCTAAAGTTCAGCCTACAGAGTAAAAAAAGAAAACAAAGAAGTGTTATAAAGAAAAATAAAAAATCACAAATATTTTCCAAAAAATAATTGCCTACTTACAAATTATGAGCCTTAAATAAAAATAACTACTAGAATTTAGAAAATAGCCTAGTGTTAAGAATTCAAACTAGGGAGACAGACATAGTTGGATTTGATTTGCATCTCTGCCCACTGCAAGTTGTCAGACAATAATCACTTCAGCCTCAGTTTGCCAATCTCTTAAGTGGGAATAATAAAATAACAGGTTTTTATCTGGGTAAGGATTAAATAAGAGAATGCAAACAAAGCACATGATGGATCAGTAAATAGAAATTCATATACTCACAAGGTAGGTATGTGATCTATAGTCCAAAGTTAATTGTTTTCTTATGTATCATAATTATCCTATGAGAACCTGTAGTAGATAATTGTTACATGTTTACATAACCAGAAAAGTTTAAAACAGATATGAATAAAATTATACTTCTTTTGTACAAGCTATAAAAGAAAACCTAAATAAACCTAAATACAAAGAGATATCCTAGTCACATGGTACTTTTAACCGAGATTGTCTAAAAACGACTTACCATGACAATCACAGCCATATTTTACAAATTCACAAATTGATTGTAAATGTATCTGAATGAATATATGCATAAATATGTCTTCTTTAAAACAACAACAACAACAACATTAGGAATGGTGGATCTGTCTTATCATATAACAACATAATGTAAGACTTTTTTTTTCCCACTCAGAACACGTTCTCCCCCTGATTCTCTCTGAGGATAGAATAAGAACAGTCATCAATGGCAAATGGCAGTTACCAAAGCAACACCAAGAGCTGGATTCACACTCAGGAGAAAATGCTGTATCTCCTCCTCATAGTCTTGGGTGCTCTACACCATCAAAGAAACTTCTCTAGTAACAAACTATAGAAATGTTTCCTGAAAGTATAGTCTTATGTAAGACTTTTTGTATCAGTATGATCTTGACAGATACAGACAAATAAATGGACACATGAACATAATACAATTAAGAATACAGTATTTAAAATCAGGAGGACAAGGATAGACTTAAAGTAAGCAATAGTCCATTTGAATAAAAATAAAGATAAATGATAAATCCTTGTTTTACATCTTATATAGAAATTAATTTCTAGATAAATTAAGGAAATAGAACAATTGAAACCAAAAATATACTAGAAGATATATGAAAGATCACTTTTTTATAATCCTGAAGTGTGAAAAGCTTTTGCAAGCACAACAGAATCCAGAAAATATGAGGGAAAATATTGATAGATATGAATACTTAAAATTTGAATTTTACAAAATAAATTAAGCTAAAAATGTATAACAGAAAAATATTAACAATGTATCAAAGCAAACAACTATTGACCTGGCCAGTGTGGCTCAGTTGGTTGAGAGTCATTCTGTGCAACAAACAGTTGCTGGTTTGATTCCTGGTCAGGGCACATGCCCGAGTTGCAGGCTCTATCCCTGGTGGTGGGGGGTGCAGGAGGCAGCTGACTCATATTCTGCTCTCACATCCATGTTTCTCTCTCTCCCCCTTCCCCTCTCTCTAAAAATCAATTTAAAATATTTTTAAAATAAAAGTAACTATTTATTTATGCCTTTGTACAAACTCTAAAAATAAGTACATAGCAATCCAATGGAAATAAATGCTGCTTTGTGAAATAAGAAAATTACATAATTATATGCATGGGATATACATTTTTTTAAATGTACACACACACACACACACACACACACACACACACACACGTGTTTCCTTAATTGTGGTTCTACCATAAAATTGAAAATGGGAGTGGCAGGAACAGAAATGGGCTTTTATGTTTTTATTTGTTATTTTATATTCTTTGGTATTACTTGGATTTTTTTAAAGCAACACTTCATTGCTAGTTGGGAATGATGATTAATATGTAAAATATTAACAATGTATCAATATACCTACTATATAAATGTATCTCTTGCAAATCAAGCCCTTAGATCATCAGTCCCTCTTCATCAACTTTTAAGTTATTGTTTTTAAAATCAACCAAGGACATTAGTATTAACAAATTGGACCAAATTGTCCCATCAGTAAAACAGAGTACTGAAATTTTCCTGTAAATTTGTTGGAAGGTAGAAGTTAGTGAATATACTTTACCAAATTTAGTGTTGACTTCTACTAAGGCCAGCAAATCAGTGTAGGAAGTAGACTATGGATCTTGCAGGCAGATAGATCTAGGTTCAAATACTAATTGTCCTGTAAAATTAGTTAAGAAGTTACATAACATAAGTAGTTCATGGCTTTGCTCAAAGAAGATGCTTAATAAACAGTAGATACTAGTGTTGTTCTTTATCTTAGGATAGTACATGAAACAATGAAGTAGAGGCAGTGAGATTTGCACCCAAATTCCTGCTCTCTTTCCCACAGTGTAGAGCCACCCTTTAAAGAAGGCTGCTCAGCCAGGGACTCCATTTCCACCAGCACCCCTCTGTGTCCAGGTGACAGGCTGTTGCAAATAAAACCTGCAGAAGTTTCGTGTTTCACTTGTCTGAGTCTTGGAAAAAGTGTGTGTGCCTCTTCGACTCTTTTGTTCCTTCTGTAGCCTGGGGGCAGAGGATTCTGAGAAAGTCTTTCTCAGCTGGGGCTTTTGTCTAAACCACAGAATACAGAAAATAATATGATTGACTTATCAAGGATCTCTCAGAGATGGACAAAATGATTGCCATGTTATATGCCCGGAAGAGAAGTTAATTTATTACATAAAATAGATATTTTAGGACATTAGGGCTTAATTGTATGAAGAATCCCCTTCCCCACTGTGAAAAGCTAAAGCATGAGGAGCACAAGATGGAGATGGAAATTATGTGGGTCCTGAATCATCACATCAATGAAAGATGCTCACAACCAACTAAGAAATGTGTTGCATGTTTACATAAAAAAAAAAAAAAAAAAAGAATTTCTAGTTTGCTAAACCACTGGAAAACTGGTGTTTATTTTTTATAGCAACTACTATTATCGAAAGTAATACAAATAACATATCCTTTAAACACAGTACTGCATAATTGCTTTCAAAATCAACAAGCAACAATCAAGCATATGCAATGTTTTAGCTATTGAAATAGGAGCTGGGATAAAAATATAAATAAGACACATTTATATTCTAAATTAAATCTGAGAGAGTATATCAGAGGAAGAGTGGAAATATTTACATTTAAATGATTGATAAATATCTTACAATTTGATAAGAAAAGCTATAATATTGTTTAACTGTTTAATAATATTAAATAAAAATATGCTAACAATCATAAGTTGCAATTACACTGCATAATAAAACTATAATAGAAATAAATATATACGACTTACAAAATAAAAAAGATTGAAGGATTTCTCAATAAACATTACCTATACATGTCCCATTAAACTTCAAGGTTTCTTTAATAGATTATAGATAATTTCTTGCAAATTTTTATGACTATTAGAAAAAAGCATAATCACTCAGGAATAATTTTACCTTTGCATTAAGGGAATAATGCATTTACTCATTCGTTCAGAACATTTTAAAACCTTATCCCCTTCATTGTTTTAACTAGAGCACAGGACTATTCCATTAGTTTTTATTAAAGGATATTACCAGACTGTTATATAAAATCAAAGCAGTAATGGTTAAAAACAATTCTATCATCATATATCATTTGTATCTCTTTATGAAAATGTGTAGAGAATATTATTTCCTGTCACTACGAGAGAAGGGTCACATACCTACCTCAATTAAAGTTAAACAAAAAATCCTTTAATTTTAACATGCTGACTTTAATTTGATTGCCTAGATTTTTGCAAATAATTGCTTTCTAAGGCAGGGAGTGTCGATGATCACCCCAACCCAAAGAAAATTCATTTTTTCTTTCTTATACTGATGAGAACCCTAAAGTTTAGAATGTCTAATTTAACTAATTTATTGATTATAATATGAGAAACTTAGTAAACTGGTCATCAAATGTGTTCTAGTTATGGGTAAAATTGAACCATGAGATATGGTGGGATAATGTGTGTACTAGTACAATATCTAGAACAGTTGGATATCCCCAAACTACTCGGCAGATGACTTTTCTCCTTTCCCACAAACCCTTCTAGGTGCCCTCTGACATTTTTAAACTGGGATCGGAAACCAGACCACTACGCACCTATTGGATGGAAGCTTGAACTCTGACAACACTGGATGCCTGCAGGGATGCGTAGCAACAGGACTCTCACTCACTGCTGGGGGGAATAAAATGATTCAGCCACTTGAAAACAACTTGGCAGTTCCTTATAAAATTACTCATACTCTTATCATATGATCCAGACACTTAGTATTTACCCAAAAATGTTGAAAACTTATACCACACAAAATCCCGCACACAGATGTCTATAGCAGATTTATTTATAATTGCCCAAACTAAAAGCAACCAAGATTGTCCTTTAGCAGTTGAATGGATAAACAAACCTGGTGCATCTAGACAATGGGATAGTGTCCAATGCTAAAGAGAAATGAGGTATCAAGCACTGAAAGGACATGAAGGAACATGAAAGGTATTTTACCAAGTGAAATTCAAATTTATTCCCCTGGTCTTTTTTGCATATAGTCTAAATTATCTGCTGAAAAAGTAAATAGAGTAATGTAACTTCCTCATCTAAAACTCCTTATTGAGTTCTTATTCCACATTACATCCAAACTCAATATCTCGTATTGTCTAGTTCCCTCCGTTCCGCCCACCTCTGCTACTTTGTCTTCACTGATGCTTCAGACACGGTGACACTCTATAACATCATTTCAATCCTCTAACATCTCAAACATACTATTTCTTAATATATGACTTTGTTAAAAAATTGTATTTTTTAAATATTCTTCCTTCACATAACTGAATCCATAACCTATTTTAAATTCTAGGTTGATTTTTTTTCTTTATGAAGATTCTTTCTATCATTAGCTTTTCGAATTTAGACCCTCCTCCCTCTGAGCTTAGAGACCTATTTCAGACTCATGTTTTGCCATAGTAACTTTAATTATTTTTATATTTTACATTTCTTACAGTATTTTTTGGACTGTTTTCCCTACTAGAATGAAAACACGCAAGGGCAAAGACTATCTGTTTACATGTGTATCTCCTTAGCTAGCTTGGTATATGAAAGGAAGGAGGCAATGGATTTGTACTTTCTGAATGAAAATAAAATTCTTGCTGAAAAATAATTATTGAGTTTCTTTTTTCTATGTATTAAACTGTTAATAACATAATAGTTTATTCAAATAGTTATTTGTAACAACACTTGAAGTTATACATCTTAGAACTTTAAGGACACCACAAAATAATGTGCTAAGACTGACTCATATTTTCTGATAATAAAAACTTGTGTAGATTAGATTCCATATGTAATATATAACAAATGGAAGAACGTACCAAGTTTTCTGTAATAAAATTGTAGAGTTGTGCTTTTTGTAAAGCACTGGTGAGGACCCCAAAAGCAATAGGACTAAATCTCTTTAGGTAGAGAACCAGGATCCTCTTCTAAACCATTGGCCATTATTCCATTCTAAGAAATCTACATGGGGAGATACACTTCGTCCCTTAAGGAACTCATTAGTAACCACAGCAGGCCCTATATCTGAGTCCCTTAAGCACTGAGTTTTTATACATTGATTGTTATGGAAAACCTTGTTTCTTTTTAATATCTTCTGCTTAAAACTAGCTGCTTGCTTTACCTGTGGAAGGAAGTGGCTGTGTGATACTAAAGTTATCGTTTTCTTTACCTGAGAAGTGTGTGTGTGTGTGTGTGTGTGTGTGTGTGTGTGTGTGTGTGTGTAATCAACAGCCTCTGCTACTAGGTGATGGGAGAGGCATTCTAAGTCTCTTTGATGAAATGAGTCATTTACTGTTTGGTCTAAAGCTTCAAATGGACCCCTGTTGTGCAGCAGC